TATTGGGAAAAACACCCTCAACTGTTCCCATTACATTTATGTTTGAGTGTATGTGGATGTTACTCGTGTGTGTGTGTGTGTGTGTGTGTGTGTGTGTGTGTGTGTGTGTGTGTGTGTGTGTGTGTGTCTTTCTCTTTCTGTGTGTGTGTGTCTTTCTCTTTCTGTGTGTGTGTGTGTTTGTCTGTCTGTGTGTGTGTCTGGTGACTAGTGCTCTATTCTGCTCCAGTCCAGATCTGCTGACGCATCCGGTGGCTGCAGGCAGTCAGGCAGAAACAGTTTTTTTAATGGGAATTTAGGATTTTAGGATTTGAGCTTATTTGTGTTGAAAAGCCCTGATGATCATTGTCTGCACTCACAAGCAAGATAATTGTCGAAATTTCCTCACTGCAATCTAAGTGGGGGTTTTCTGCATTGTTTTTTCCTGTGTGCCTCAGTATGGACTTGAAAAGCTCATATTGCATCTCTGTTGGGAATGGGTTAGCATGTGGCTTAGCAAGTGAGGGATATGTGTAATCTGACACCATTTCCGGGGTACAGATCCTGTGATGATTGTTGGAGTCTAGGGAGGTGTGTGTGTGTGTGTGTGTGTGTGTGTGTGTGTGTGTGTGTGTGTGTGTGTGTGTGTGTGTGTGAGACCTTTTGCCAGCAACAACAACTGGTCTCATCCTCACTAACTGCTCTCTTAATGTCTCAGCTGACACCCCACCCCCAGCCTACATGCCCCCTGATGAGCAGCTGGGCCAGGAGAGCCAGTCCATGGAAACAAGCAGCAGCCTGGTGCAGCAGAACATGGCCAGAGGAGGTGAGGAGTGCCCACATTTAGAATGATGATAACACTTAAGCCCAAAAAAAAGTACCCAACAGTGAAAGTCCAGTTTGAAGGCTTATCAAAATCAAAGGCGATGGACAGCAGTTGATACCCATTCGATGCATGATCTGACTAATCTGGAAAGTTTCAGCAATGTTTTCTTGTCCTTGACATATTTGTGCTTGCAACTCAATGCCATGTACTACCATGCATTGATGCAAAGGACCAGCTCTTTTTGCTGGACCATCCTATCCTGTCTCACACACACACACACACACACACACACACATACACATACAGACACACACATTTAATGCTTTGATCTTATTGAAATGAGTGAGAGAGCTCTGTGTTAATGCCTCTGTACTCGCATTTTTGCTCCCATTTCTTTTGAATATTGAATATTTGTCAAGTGTGATCCAATACTGTAATTTGCAGTCTCTCACCAAGTATTAATTTCAGTCCCCATTACCTGCAGGGTTGTTCTAATAATTGACCAGTAAGTTCTTCTTCTGAACAAATATTGGTGTTTGTTTTGGTGAATCTTTTAACTTTACAGTCATGTGATGTCATAAGCTCACTATAGCCAAATGACAGAACTAACAGAAAACCATTACCACCAACACAGACCTAATCTGGAATCATGTATGTTTACAACGAAAAAGATGAAGCTTTTTAAGAGATCTCGACAGCAAAAATTGACTTTTGTAATGTAAACTAGTAAGCTTTCTATCCAGGCTGTAGGGTATGCTGTCTCCTTATAATTGATGTGATATGTAAAATGCTGAGAAATGTATTGTTATGAGAACCACCTGCTGTAATTTTGAACTGTATTAAATACTTTGTGTAACAATGAGCTCTCGTTAACTACATTCATCCATTTTGTTTACTTGTTAGTTAATGAATCCTGTACTCATGGTTTTAACAAGGCTTTATAAGTGTTTATAATATATGGACATGCTGTATGAGTTTGTTTTGTTTGAACTGGAATCAGTTTCAGTTCTTGTGATCATGGGAACTGTATAAATGTGTACACTGGTTATAGATGCGTAGAGAACATTTTATATACAGCAGTAGACTGAGCAGTCCCATGCTGCCTGAAAATACATTGCTTTGTAAGATGCATCATAATCAGTGTCTTATGCTCTCTAGACGACTTTTGTGTCAAATGTCATTTGCAGAGTTTATGACTCACCTTTTTTTTTTCTTTTTCTTTTTTTTTTCTGACCTGTTGTGCAATTTCCCAGATGTGCAACCAGTGGAATATGAGGAGCCGAGCCACTGGTGCTCTATTGTCTACTATGAACTCAACAATCGTGTAGGTGAGGCTTACCATGCCTCTTCAACCAGCGTGCTTGTGGATGGTTTCACTGACCCTTCAAACAACAAGAACCGCTTCTGCCTCGGACTGCTGTCCAACGTCAACCGCAACTCCACAATTGAAAATACCCGTCGACACATTGGCAAAGGTATAACTAACCCTTACACACAGCATGAGAGGCAGATTGATAAGATTGACATTTGGCTCTTGCAGAGTTGTGGTCTGAATGTTCTGACCATCAGTTGTCTCTCTGTTATCCAGGAGTGCACCTGTACTATGTGGGAGGGGAGGTGTACGCAGAGTGCCTCAGTGACACCAGCATTTTTGTCCAGAGCCGTAACTGTAATTACCACCACGGCTTCCACCCCACCACTGTCTGCAAGATCCCCAGTGGATGTAGCCTCAAGATTTTCAACAACCAGGAGTTTGCTCAGCTTCTGGCTCAGTCAGTCAACCACGGCTTTGAGGCTGTCTATGAGCTTACCAAGATGTGTACTATTAGGATGAGCTTTGTCAAGGTAAGGGCTTCGTGAAATATGTAGAAGACAGTCAGGGACATTTAAACATGTCTCATCATTTCTTTTAACAATAGGTCACATCATTATTAGTTTCATTGTTGAGTAATTTGTTCTGCCTCCTCACAGGGTTGGGGAGCTGAGTACCACCGACAGGACGTCACCAGCACCCCCTGCTGGATTGAGGTGCACCTGCATGGGCCCCTCCAGTGGCTGGACAAGGTGCTAACACAAATGGGTTCGCCTCTCAACCCAATCTCCTCTGTGTCCTAATGATGGACTTGTGGAGCTTGAGAGACCCTTTTTACTTTTTTTTTTTTTTTTTTTTTTTTTTTTTTTCCCCCCTCAGTGATTTTATAATTTAAGGTGGTCTTAATGGCTGAACTGTTTACACTTACTTTGGGAAGGGATATTGACTCTGGCTGAAAATTCAACATCAGCAGCCAGAATCCAGTTGTTGAAACTGAGTAACATTATGAGCAAATACCTGGAGAAAGAGAGGAATAAGGAATACCCAAGTAGCAGTAACGACATGGACATACTACTGCTTGACAATGACACAACACCTGCAAGAATTGAGGGCTCCATTGTCAAGCTTGAATCTGTCAAATGTTAATTTTTCATCAAGTTTTTTTGTTTTTCTCAAATGATTTTATTTCTCTGTATGTGTAGTTTTTAATGAAGCAGGACTGTTTCACTACTCTGCCTTATGTCGGACAGACAAATTTGGAATTTTACTGAACACCTTTCTTACATTGTTGTCTCAGTGTCAGATATTTACAATTAAGATGTAGACACGATTATGTTTACCATTAGGCTCAGATATAACAAATGCTTTCTTTTTATAGTCTCTACTGCTAGAAATGAACACTGAGCTACTGCTTTTTAAGAAAGTTATGTATGCCAACCTGATAGTTTTTGATATTGGGAGATCAATCACTGAACAAGTTTAACACGCCATAAGCTAACAACAGTGTGAATGTTACATCTATTGCAATAGAAGTAGTCATTTATGATATAATCAGACAATGGACATCATCATTATTACTGATTCTTGTTTGTACTCTCAAGCTCAAGTAAGAGTGACTGTATTTTCCATACTCACTGTATTAACAATATTGTGCACTCATGGATTTTGTGGAGGCATATTAAAGTTTGGCGTGGGTACCAAGGCATTATGTTGATAGATAATTGACTTCATTAGCTCAATGAAATAAACAGGTCATTTGTTAACAATGATGGCTTATTTTTCTATGCTTCTGTCTGTTCTTTCACACTTTAGTAATACTTAGCAAGATGCAAACAGGCAGAATATAAATTTTTATGTACATGAACAGTGTGTTGAATCAAGATGGATCTACAGTAACAATTATACCATTTTCTCCAATGACCACTGGTATAACTATGATGATACTTTTGTGAGTCACTGGTATTGGATGCATGTTAAAAATGCGATCAAACACTGATCACAGCTTTAACATGGTAGTTTGGACAACAATAGTGAGTTTATTTATTTATTTATTATTATTTACTTATTCACTTATTTATTTATTATTTCTGTTTGATGCAGAGCTTTCAGAATGTCAATAAAACTAGTGTAGCTCGCAATACATAACATAATCATCAGCATAAGAGTAAGCATAACTGCATGATGCCATCATTTTGTGTATTCTACTAGATACACACTAAACTACATTCTGACAGATACTATAAGTGTGATATTGTCCTTTAAGTAGACTTTTCATCATCTTTGGGTTAATAACAAATTGGTGTGTTAAATACAGAAGAGGATACATGTTTTCTGCTGTCTTGTCTAAAACTTTAACATTGATTTATATATTTATCTGATATTTTAAAGATCAACAAGAGCAAACCATTTAGTCTTTTGGATGAAAGAGAAATGTTCAAAATCATTTAAAATATTTTTTAATACATCCTTCAGCCATTGATTCGCACTCATATTTGCCTATTGCACATTTTAATAAATGCCAGCTTGTACTGAAATTATCTTCTGTCTGAGTATTAACCTAGCACACAGCACAGTACAATGTAACGCAGAATTAGGCACAGCCTGACAACTTCCTATTGGTCCACGTTTGTATTTACCGTAACTCTCCTAAGACGTGGATCAACATTTACAACATTTAAAATACAATACACCAAATTACATTTACAAACACTACTCAGAACATAAGCGACTAAACGCAAACGTTAAGTCTTCGCTAAAGTGTCTTTGTAACTACTTTTTACACCAACTAAATGACTAAAAACATTAACATGTCAGTGATGTGTGAAATTGCTCTTGCGTCATTTTACCTTATCAGCCGGATATGAGGTGGCTCCCAAGGAGCAAGCCAAAGATAAACACGTAGCCAGACGAACAGGGGCGAGGATAATAAATATAATAGAGAGGCTGCTGTGAAACCATCGAAATGAAGTAGCTGTTAAGAATATAAAGGTTATAGCAAGCAAGGAGACATCCGTCAGATCGACCAAGGAGCAAGTCTTGCGCAGACATCGAGTCGGTAAGTCCCGCAGAGTCCTGGAAGCTGCAACGTTACCAGCTAGCTAGCTAGCTAACGTTAGCTAACACCAGCTAACTAACCTAATTACCTGTCTTTGACAGTAAGGTGGTCTCTGGAGTAAAGCAACGTTACTAATACAAAAAAAAAGCTGTACAGTCAGCCTTTTGAGAAATATGTGACGAGCCTACTTTTGCCGGGTTAAGTTTCTCTTTCTTTAAAAGCTGTCACAAGGTTAGTTGGATGTCTGAGACTTCATTTTACCATATTAGCTTGAATATTAGCAAGCGCAGTTAGCTGAAAGAGCTGCCTCTCCAACAGGAGGGTTAATGTTGTTTTTTAATTACGTCGAAATAAGAGATTAACTAGTTTTTTTTAATGTTGCTTTCAATATGAGATATGTTGCACAGGAGACAGTGATGCAGCAGCTGCAGTAGGGAGTGGGAGTGTACACAATGCAAACCCAAATGCCCTTTGTGGAAACAGTATTACACAAAATTCATTTTTACCCTGAAGTCCTGTCATTGAACTCTCATTTAAATGTGCTAATCAGAATATTGGTTTCAAAGGGTTATTTGTAAGTATTGAGTCTTGGGATCCAGTGTCAAACTCAACACTTAAGTTCACCTGGCAGGTTAACAGCTCTGTGTGTTCTCACCAGATGTTACAGAAAAAGGTTTGAAGACTTTCTGTTTCTTTACCATGTGTAATTAACACTTGAAAACAAGTGTGGTTAACGTAACGCCTGGAGGAAATCCTTACAGTTATGTATTTGAAACACAGTACAAGATTAAACATGTTGACTGAGTCAAGATTACATCAGTGTTACTAGACATATGGGATATGATAATGCATAGACTAACCAGTGTAGGGCTGCTTGTGCGCCAAAAGATGTTGTTTTTGAGGATGCCTAATTGTATTGGAGAGGTGCACACTTTCTCCGGGTTTGTCAAGAGTCATCTAGTAGTGTTTGAGACATCCTCTGATTAACAAAAATGTAAAGAGACCAATCTATTGTCCTGATTTAGATTTCTCGTCAGATTATTGGGCAATTTAGTTGATAGTTTATTGTGCTACACAAAAAAAATGACCAGTTATTGGTACAGGAATGGCCGTCATGGTTACAAAATGCTTGCATCATCAAAACTACTTATATTGGACAAATTTTCTTACCCTGAGGAAGTGTCAACACTGATCTTGAGAGTTTTACTTTTTGTCCAGGTTTTCTGTTTGAATGCCTTAAGGTAGTTAATACATAACCTACTCTTCAGAAAGCAGCAACATGAATGGTAACAAAAAGGAACTTAAGCCATTAAGCTGTTTGGATTTTAAACATGTGATGGCACCAAAATGTATTTTTCATTTCCTTCAAATGTTGCCTTTCTGCACTTTCTGACAAGATCTGAGGGAGTGAAGGACATTATCCGCTTCACTTCATCAAACTGACACTCCTCTTTAACAAGCTCTTACAAACAAATAAAGCAGAGCAACAAAGGGTCATTGTCATAATTATATTTTAAATTCAACCAGATAGGTGTCTTAATTATATAGAAGTTACATGGGGATAGATGATTTGTCATTGGCTCTCTCTCATTACATGACCAAGGAGGGAAGCACAATCAATCTTCATGCCCCTAGAAAAAGGACATAGAGGGTTTGGTCGTTTTGAATCTTATGTGGTATTTCTCTGCAATGGAAAAGAACTTCAGATGGCCTTATTTCTTTATGTAGTAGTAGTAGTAGTAGTAGTATTTATTTGTCCCTGTGGGGAAATTGGTTTGCAGCATTATCACAGGCATTTCAAAAGGAAAAGCAAAAAACAAAACATCATACGATAAAGACAGCTTAGGACATACAACATGAAACATTTCCACTTCACGCCTTGCAACATTATTTCTTCACAAACAGAATAAGTAGCTCTTAATGGATAACTGACAAGCTGCCAAAGCTTTGTGACCATACAGTTTATGAATTAAAAACGTAAACTTATTTTTTGGACACATCTGTCTGAGTAAAATTAACATACCAGAGATGTCTCTCAGAAAATATTTCTTTCAAAGGAATTATAGAGTTATTTGCATGTTCCGCTACATCAGTCAGCTTTCACATGCAGCGTCTGTCTTCTCATTCTTGTCTGCCTTCATGTGTTTCCCCTCCACAGTATCTGTAGCTGAGTCCAAAATGGTGCGAGCAGCTTTGGTGACCGCCACCAGTCTGGCACTGACTGGGGCTGTGGTGGCACATGCTTACTTCCTCAAACACCAGTTCTACCCGACTGTGGTCTACCTCACCAAGAGCAGCCCCAGCATGGCGGTAAGAGCAGTGCTAATGTCAAATCTTGAGTTTGATTTAAATTATTTGAATAGATTACTCTTGTTAATATCTTTGAATTTGACAATATTCTCCCAAAGGCCATATCAGTGACACTGTGAGGAATCAGCTTTTCGCGTCTGTTTGTTTCTGGTATCAGGTGTTGTACATTCAGGCCTTTGTGCTGGTGTTTCTGCTGGGAAAGTTCATGAGGAAGGTCTTTTTTGGACAGCTAAGGGCTGCAGAAATGGAGGTAGAGTTCTTCTTATATTTATTACTCTCCTGATTCATCGTAACACACACTCACCTTTGTATTTAATGCATGATGTGCGTTGTAAATGACAACAATGAATCCAATCACACTTTATTTTCTGTGGTTTGTTATCCTTCTCTACAATCAGCACCTCATTGAGCGCTCCTGGTACGCGGTGACTGAGACGTGCCTGGCATTCACTGTGTTCAGGGATGACTTCTCCCCTCGCTTTGTCGCCCTCTTCACCCTCCTGCTCTTTCTTAAGTGCTTCCACTGGCTAGCTGAGGACCGGGTGGACTTTGTAAGTGATGACAGAGAAACAACTTCCTCAACCTGCAAAATGCCCTGCATACTTCCTTCACTGTCTCTGTATTCAGTACACTGCTTAAAGGTAGCAAGGAAACATGGCACAGGATGGGGCAGATGGTGTGTGGATAAGGCGGCATGCCAGAGTTGAACAAATATTGTTACGTGACATTTTGCAGCTGATAATTCAGATACACATTGAGTGTTAAAGGGCCTTCATTGTGCTGTGAATTGGAGTTTTAGCCAAAACTATTTGAATAAGTGAAAAGCTTTTCCTGGGTGGTGAAGACATTGGCTTTACCAAACTGCTTTCACTAGACAGCAGTCATTAGCCAAATAGCAAACAAACTGGACCATACTACAGGTTTCTGTGCTCCTGTATTAGAGAATTATTGATACACTTATCATTCAGAATCACAGAATCAATCATTATGTTAATGAATAAACATATGTGACTTCATATGCTTTAAGTAACATTTAAATAATGTTTATTTCCATGGTTTCCTGACAGATGGAACGGAGTCCTAACATATCCTGGGTTTTTCACTTGAGAGTATTATGTAAGTAAATGTTATCCACCCCGTTCAATATCATTCTTCCCGCCCTTCTGTGTTGGTTCTTTCTTACTCTTTCTCTTTCACTTCCCTCTCTGTACCTCTTTCATTTCCATTGATGTGCTTATGAAAGTCTTTTAGCTAAATTAAACCGTATGCAAATCAATCTGTTTGTGCATCAGACCAGGTGCTCCACTGTTTAATGGAGCTTCACATCAGAATGACTTTAACAGACCATAAGACTGATAGTAGCACTGGTAAAAGGGGCAATTTGATCACATACAACTTACTGTATTTGAATTCAGGACAACTGTTTATTTTGGGCAAATACTAAGGTACTTTTTTTCTTATATTTCTATGGAGGTACAGTAGGTACCACAACCGCTCACATAAGTGTTATTCAGTGTTGTTCTTTATTCCCTGCAGCTCTCATGGGACTACTGGGTGTCCTGGACTTCCTGTTTGTCAACCATGCTTGTCACAGCATCATTACCAGAGGAGCCTCTGTCCAGCTTGTTTTTGGATTTGAGGTTTGTCATACTTGATTGGAGTTGAATGGAAGCTCTGTTTTTAAAGGAGCTATTTGTAAGTTATTCTGTTGCCACACAGCCAACGTTAGCATTAACAGCTGTTTACTCACCAGTCTAGACGAAATGAGTTCAGCATGAAACTTCATTCCTTTACTCACCAAGAGGTGGTCCGTTATGCTGTAGCTATCACTGTAGCCTCCAATCTGCCCTGAAGGCATAGTGCTGTTCAGATGGTGCATTATAACCTCTTGTATTGTAAAGATAACATTTGGCGAAGCTCATGGCTTATTTAATCCATCTTTGTCCATTTCAGAAGCTTCATCCCTCGTTCATTTGGCTGATTCATTTATTTGTTTCATTTTTACTATGGTTTTCACACTCCATTAACCTTTGCTCATGTTCACATCTCGTTACTGAGTTGTCCTATACCGGACACAGGAATAGTAAAGTGATTGACCAATAAAAAAAATCAAGGTCAGCATCATTCCCATTAAATGTTATTGTCAAAGCCCCCCATAATAAATTTGCATCCAGTAGCCCTAGTAGTCTGAGTTCAAAGTTTGAGAAAAAAAAGACAAGAAAGTGCTTACAGGGGGATGGTGCCTCTTACTTCAATAGTTAACTTGGCTGAATTCTTTTCATGCTTCGTTCTTGTGTCCCTACATGGCTGCACTTGCTAATATGCACACATAATGTTGTAAGATCCTCTTTTAAATAAGGTTTCTCCCCTCTGTTAGTATGCCATCCTGCTGACCATGGTGCTGACGACCTTCATCAAGTACGTCCTGCACACTGTTGACCTGCAGAGTGAGAATCCCTGGGACAACAAGGCCGTCTATATGCTCTATACTGAGCTCTTCACAGGTACTATATTCAAGTGTACTTCAAACTGTGATGCTTGTGATGTTTTCCTCCAGACAAACATAACCTGCATGTAAAATAAAAGGTGATGTCAGCCATATTTGAACGACGCTTGATATTTTTCTTCCAGGTTTCATCAAAGTGCTCCTGTACATTGCCTTCATGACCATCATGATAAAGGTCCACACCTTCCCCCTGTTTGCCATTCGCCCCATGTATCTGGCTATGAGGTGAGCATCTTTATTGTCTCTGTTATGCTGTTATTACTTCCACTATTGTAATTTCTGCTGTTAAATGTCAGATTGGTCGCTTCTAAATCTTGATGATGCTGTTTCATATTTTAAATCTCCATACTTGATAGGTTTTTTGGAAAAGATGATCATTTTTAATCGAAATTAAATATTTGATCAAAACTAATTATTTAGATTTGATATTTAAGGCATGGTTTAAGTTTTTTGTTGTTTTGTTTCCCCTACCAGACAATTCAAGAAAGCTGTAACAGACGCTATAATGTCTCGGAGAGCCATCCGCAACATGAATACACTGTGAGTAATGTTAAGCCTTTCCTGATGGCACTGTATTGCATTTGTAAAAATCATCATTTCCCATTGTGTCTTTCTTTCTCTCTAATTTACACATCATTTAGTTGGACAAAACATGGTGAAGTGGGATTTTAATTCTCATTTAATGATGAGGACTACGACCTATATACTAATGAATGTCCATTCTCTATTTAGTGTAAATGTTTTGGAGAGGTAGCAGAAAGATATGCTCACTGTTGTGCAGTAACTTTGTCATGCTCTTACTCAAGTTGTAGCAAACCTGTATAGTTCGTCTGCTATACAGTACATCTGTATATTTTAAGTGTACCGATTTTGTTTGGTTAGTTTTTCTTGTGTTTAAGCTCAACTTTCAGGCCGGTACTTAGTATACTCAATATTTAGTCAGTGATATCTGCAAACCAGAATTGTTGGTCACATCTTTTTGTCTGTGTTCAGATACCCTGATGCAACTCCTGAAGATCTGCAGGCTTCTGACAACGTTTGTATCATCTGTCGAGAGGAAATGGTCACTGGAGCCAAGAAACTACCTTGTAATCACATTTTCCACTCCAGGTAAGTCCTGTGGTAAACACTCTGACTCAACAGGAAAGATTCTGCACTACAAACAAACAAAACAACTGAGATGTCAGACACAGTCAGCGTCTCACTATTTAAACTATTTAAAACAGAGCAAGTCATTGTGGCAAATGACACATGACTCAAAACAACAACCTTTGGTACTGTGATGTGTTCAAAGTTGCTATTTGTGCTTGTTGCTTTTTAGATAATGTTGTGTTACCCTCCTTTCCGCTCCACAGCTGCTTGCGCTCCTGGTTCCAGAGGCAGCAGACCTGTCCTACCTGTCGCATGGACGTCCTCCGAGCTTCTAACAACAATCAGACTCCTGCCCCAGCCCAGGCTCCGCCCCCTGCTCCAGCAGCCCCTGCCAACGCCCCCGCAGCCCCGCCTGCTAATGGTGAGGATCAAAACCAGTACACATGAACACAACCCCCATGTTCCTGCTGCTATCAGCATAACGTGAAGGCAACCTACGCCCACACTATTCGCAGTGCAGAACGTCTGTCATGCGGGTGCCCTCAGCTGTAAAACAGCCACTGTACAGGAGCAAAGCAGAGCAGAAACATTCCTTTGAAACAACTTATGCAATGCTGCACATTCCTACACCTGAGAGTAATATTTCACCTGGGAGCGTTTAGCTTTGTTGCAGACATAATGTACTTTCATACCTACTGCTATCAGGACTGTTTAACTCAGAAAAACATTTCTATTCATGGGCAGATGTCATAAGTTTATGTTTGCAGAAAAATGGTGAAAAAATGGTGCCGTCTTTGAGCTGCTTTCAGACCATTCATCCGCCGTCTTTTTACTGAATACCACTCAGAGTCATACATGTTTAAATTCTACACACAGTGTTTGAGTAACTAGTCCAGGAATCTTAGTTCTATATCGTCACTACAGGGCACTTAATAAAATGAACTCAGTCCTCCGCCCTTTCTTGGTTTAATTAGCAAGCAGTATTGTGGGTATATTGACCTTTTGTGCAGAGAGTGTTAATTATGTTTTGAAGCGCCCTCATGTAAATACATATTTCGACCCTTTTTAAGGATCTCTTGTTTTCTGTTTCCTCTCCAGTGGCTCCAGGCATGTTACCAGGCTTTCCTCCTGGCATCTTCCCCTTCTGGGGTCCCTTCCCTGCAGTGCCTCCTCCAGCTGCAGCAGCTGCAGCTCCTGGTGCTACTGATGCACCACAGAGCAGCACAGAAGCTACGCAGGCAGCGGGTGAGGATGCCTCATTCTGCCTCATCAGTTGTGTGCAATTAAGATCATCAAGATCATTCATTACTATTCCATGAGTGTAAAACAGAGGGGAAGTCCTGAGCTGATCTCAATATCATGTACTGATTTATAATGTAGCAGCATCGTGTATTATGTGATTATTAATCATCCTGTTTTGAGTTGTGATTGAAGCGCTCATCAGTATTATGACATGAACCAAAACACCAGATGCATGTATTGATACAGCAGGTGGTTAATTGCATAACATTATAACAACACAAACCCATTGTCCCACAGATGGAAATAATTATTGATTAATTGTATAGATGTTGTGAGGGCTTTACATCTACACAGATCATCAAAGTCTTGTGTGTGTTTCCATCAGGTACCAGCCAACCCACATCGTCTACTGCAGACACCTCTACAGCAGCAGCTGCTCCAGGATCAGCAATCCCAGGCTTCCCTTTCTCCTTCCCTCCTCCTCCCTTCCCCACTGCACCATGGCTGCCTATGCCGCCACCTCCTCCCTTTGGTAAGCAACACTCAGTACTGCCGCACAAACTGATCACGCAGTTAACTTCTTCCACCCTGTTGGTCCCAGCACAACGGTCGCCACGTCACTCCTCTCTGCTAGAACAGACATAATAAGAAATTTGCAGTTGTAGCTGTTTGTGGATGAGTCATGATAATATTTTCTTACTTCTCCTATCAACCCCTGTTTAAGGAAGCGATAAACACTACCATAGCAACATGCTCTCCTTTCACACGGTGCACATGTATGACACTTTTTCTGTTTGTTTGTGCTCACAGATATCAGTCAAACAATCATGATTAAATCTTATCTCTTTAGGTCACTTGAAATGATTGTTAATGCTCTCTCAGCCTGAGTGGATCATTGAGTTTGCACACATTATTCTGGAGAGTTAGAATCTCTTCAACCTCTTAGAGCCTGACAAAAAATTTTATTGCATATTTTAGATCAGAAGTGATCCTAGCCACAGGGTCTCTATCTTAACGAGTCACTGCAGTGAACACCTCCCTGCATCTCCCACTCAGATAGTTTATATCTGCAAGACTCTCAACTCCGGTCAAGTTGAATTTATCCTCCTTTCCTCCAGTGTCGTCGATGCCTCCCCCTCCTCCGTCTCTCTCCCGGATGTCCGAGGAGGAGCTAAGGGAGCTGGAGGCAGAAGGTCGGCGGGGCCTCGAGGCCAGACTCCAGTGTCTCCAAAACATCCACACCCTGCTGGACGCCGCCATGCTCAACATCCACCACTACCTCAGCACTGTCGCCACACTCACGTAACTAAACCACGTAACTTGTTTTACGAAATTTGAAGCTGAAATCATTAAACTCTGTACTGTTGCATTTTTTTGTATTATTTTACACATTTGTTCGACCTCATTTCTTCTAAGAATTAATAGAATGTGTCGATAGTTTTTTCTGTAAAGATTTAAGTTAAAACGTGCAAACAAGTGGTCACGTTGTCTGGAGGGATTCAATCTTAAGCAAATACACTGATCACACTGAAGAGGGGACAGTTGCTCTTATGTTTGATTTCATCCAGAAAATGTAATTTTCAGTTGAATGCTTCATTGTCTTTTTACTGCCGTTTCTTCCACAGCCCTCCTCGGGCCGAGGGCAGCACTGGAGAAGCCAGTGGGACGAACCACACTGCTTCAGCCTCTGCAGCTGGCAGCAGCTCAGAGACCCCCAGCCAGGAGAAGGACTCTGCCAGCTGTAAGTGAACTGACGGTACACATGAACTGTGACAACAGCCTGGATGATTAGAACAAACACTGTGGACCCTGCTTTGATTTTTTTTTTTTTTTTTTTTTTTTTTTTTTTTGTACTTTTGCAGTTGATCAAGTGAGTGGTGCAACAGTCTCCTCTCAGCCCGCTGACTCCACCTCTGCTGCCTCAGACACGGAAAGAAAAGAAATGATGGATGATGGAGTGGTGGAGGACGAGGACGGAGAACCAAATGCCGCTGAGCTGAGGCGCCGTCGCCTTCGTAAGCTGGAATCGGCAACATCATCATCGTCATCATCACCCCCTCCAGACAACTGATCCATGTATTCTGACTCGGACATATCACTCTTGGACCAATAGGAACTCTGAGCTGATCGATCTTTACTTTGGTTCTTCATTGCGTCTCTTCCTCGTGGCTCTCGCCTTCCACAGGCTCAGGTTTCTAACTGTGTCGAATTGGACTCAGGCTGCTGGGAGACGCAGTGAACTTCAGCGCTTATCTGGACTGTTTCTGTCAGCAATAGCGCGACTTTTTTGTTTTTTTCCCATCACCTTCCCCCAAGAATGGCTACTGCAATAAGAGTACTGCAGGTGTTTCTCAGTTTAATCAGGTGGAAGAGGAATTCTCTTTTCAAACCCAGATATTTGGTCAATGTGAGAGAGATGGTTATTTGGATTTGTGTGTGCTAGTTTTACTGTCAGTGACATCTTTGCCTGCACTTTGATTTTTGTTTAATTAAGCTGTCCTCAGTATAAAGGTGGTCCCATTCGCCACATCAACATGTTACATAGAACCTGGATCAGTGTCACATCCAGTGAATTCAAATCAAGGGAACGTAATCATTTGCTTTTGCTTTTTTTTTTTTTTTTTTTTTTCCTTTAACATGCATCATTCTTGTGTCTCCTGGTTTCTCCATGTTGCCACTGCAGACGCTGTAACATACTGATTTATTTGAATGTGTACATACTGTATAGAGTTTTAATAGGATGATCTGTACATAATGCAGAATAAACTGTTTGACTGAAGTGGCAGTGGCACAACACACATGTTAGTTTGTATGTTCACAAACCGATACCAGTGAGGTGGACTGTGTTAAAGTAAAGCTCATAAACCGTGAGCCCTTTCCTGCAGGCTCTCTGTTGCAGCGCTTTAATGTTGCCATTGAATTAAAGATTGGCCTGTTTAATTCAAACTCACCATCACTCACTACATACAAATCTTCTTTTAGGTTAGGTTTCCAAGTTTACATTTTTTTTTTTTTTTTCAAATCTGATATTCAGTTTTCAATTGTCAGTCAAAACTGTTGCTGTGCCACAACTGCCCACACACGACCAGAACTGTTAAGTAAAGCTCAGATCTAAAACAAGTCAGGAGCCTTTCTCTTAATACTACCTACTGAAGTTTTTTGAGGCTATACTTTGCAGTGTTGTAAAAAAAAAAAAACTGCATTATCTTGAAAGGTGTTTATATTATTCGAATGACCCAGTTAATATGAGGGTTTTAAAGTGTCAGTAAAAAATAACCAAATTGCGTAATTTAACGTGGAATGTAAACGTTTGGCTGACCCTGAATTAACGATGTTTTGTTGACATTGAAAGTTCATTCTTGGAAACAGCAGTGGTCTAAACAATACCACCACAAGGTCCATTTAGTAGTAGTAGTTCTGGAGCTTTTGATTATATTACGTGATCTAGCTTGTTCAGTTGTCATGGAATGAAATCAGTGTAAATATTTTACTAAATCTGTACTTTTAGGTATGAACAAGTCCTTAAAGTGCTCAGAAAATTTTTGATTTCTACATTCCCATGACAACTGGGCAACTTTATCTGCTAAGGAAGAACATGTAATATGATAAAAAGTTCCAGAACAGCTACTAAATGGACCTTGTGGTGAGATTGTTTTGTAATTGATGTTCTCTGTAGAGAACCAATCTGAATCACATTTTATGTATTACTATATTACATTAATTTATCAGATTAAAGATCAGGCAAAATGTCCTTTTTAAAAAGATTGAATTGTTTCATGAGGCTGTGTCAAACCAGGTGAAGGTCTCTGCAGGGTTTCAGATTTAGCTTCTGGTTTTCACTCATTTCGCATTCTGAAAATAAGTTGCAGATAAAACTGGCCAGGTTACCTGTCAGTTATGATCATCTCTGCTTCTATTACCATCAAAATAATGTTAATGTGATGTTTTGCTACTCATTATACAGAAAGTAGATTTATGTATTCAATTATTACTGGAATATAGAGTCTCCATATAAGTACATTAAGTACCTATGCATTGACTGAATACTGTCTCTATTTTCTATATAATTAGTACCAAATGACACAGTTCCTTACAGGTACCTTACTATTAAATATTTTGTCCATCACAGGCCCATAAAAAAAAGTGTAACCAGGACCGCAGTTGAAAGAATACATTGATTCAGAAAAGTTTGCCGCCAGATATAAAAGCAAGCATGATGTTCACCATTGCACTACTTGTCTCAAAGCTAGTTTGAGGTCAGTGTATCGATTGGATGCAGACATTAATAGAAAACTGGCTGATTGGAAGGTTAGAAAAATACTTGAAGAACACTCACATGGCCTGTTTGGCACTAATGAAGTATATATGATTTGTAGTAAATGGGCTAAAACATGTAAAACACACAGCACTTTTCCCACACACATTCTCTGCTTAGCAACAGACTGAACAAGTTCATTTTTATGTTTTTATTGATTTCTCGTTTACATAGTAAATGTCAGTCATGTGCTGAAGTCACACATGTGCCACAGGTGAGTGACTCACTATGAGGAAGCTTCATTCTAATAAAGACATAAAGCGAAAAACATTTGATTATCAGCTACAATAAAAAGGTAGGACTATAGTTAGGAAATAAGTTAAATTTACATAACACAGTACAATTATACAGGAAGGGGATAAGAATCTAAATCAATTTTGAAATTTTAAAATGAGGACTCTCTTTACAAGTGTGACATACAAACTTAAAGAATAGCAGACACTGGCCATAAAGAGGAAACAAACAAAAACAATATTGTTAATAATATGTGCAGCAATGTTTAGGTCTGAGATTAGAAAAGAGATCCTGCTGAGCTGAGGTTGAATGATTTATTAAAGGTTACAAAAGAAATCCGTGGTCTTACAGAAAACAGTACTTTGCTGTAAAGACAAAATGCCAAAAGAGACCATTGTTCATTTGTATCTTAGTCTGTTTCTGATACACTTGAAACAGTGTAAAAGATGTCACCTTTATTTAAACTGTACAAAACTGTAAAACAGTATCATTAATGCCTGTTACTAGTGGTTATCACATGCTGCGAGTTCATGAACTACACTGCATGACATGTATTAAGGAATGCTAATGAAGCTAGATGTGCCATTTTTAGGAATTGTAAGAGCTAGTTCACCACCAACAATGGGACAATGACTTTTTTAAAACAAGGAATCTTGTGGCTAAACCTCAGCTTAACCTTTACACAGAGCTCACTGAGCACAATATTTGGCTATTCACATCTGGCAGGGCTTTTCCCACCGTGTCTGTTCCCTTTGAGCAAAGAAAGATTTTTAATGTATTCTCTCTTCAAAAACTACAAGGTGCATATTCACTGTTTGGTGATGATTTCCTGAGGTTTTCAGTGCAAAAACTGCTCACAGGGGGAGGTACTACTGGCTGGGAGCTGTGTCTATATTTTGTCCTGGAGATGAATTCCACACAGCCCTGATCGTGGTCAGGAGTCAAGGTCAGTTCTGGGGGGTTGAATAGAACGAGTGGTGCTGGTGGTTCTGGTCTGGGGGGTTGGTGGCAAACAGGAGAGGAGCAGTCTCTGCTCCATACCAGCTGTAGCAGGGCGAGAAGAAGAGCGAAAGATGATGGGTCTGGTACGGTGAATTTCGGTTGGTCATCTTCATCTTACAGCATCACAGCCAATCAGAAAGTGAGCCTGAGCTAATTTCTCACTGCAGAGCAGTCCATCAATAAACACTTTTATAAAGTCTGAAACTAAGGCAAGTTTACTTTGGCAATCTGCTCTAGACTTATTAAAGCCTGAAGATAATGATTTATATTTGAAAAACCTGCATGACTTGTCCTGCAGGGCAATTTCAATTTCATCATTGGTTAAGCTGCCAATTATTTTCTCAATTAATGAGTTACTTGTTTGGTCTATAAAATATCAGAAAATGTTTTCACTAAGCTCAGGTTGATGTTTTCAAATGTCTTGCAAAATTCAAAGCTTTTGATTATAGAAAGATATAAAATTAGAGATGAAACAATTGACTGATCAGTTGACTGACAGAAAAATTATCTGCAACAGTCTGTTTAGTCTTTAAAGTCTTTAAAGCAAAAAAGTGAAGACATAACCTGATTCAAACATGTCAGTTTAAAAAAGAAAAAAAGAAAAAACCTGCAGATTAATTAGATTTATAAACAAGGAAAACAGTTGTTAGTTGAAGCCCAATATATACTGTCACAATGGAGAAGCTGAAAATTGGAAGGTTAAACATTTCTCTTAAGAAAAAAAAAATCATTAAACTTAAACTTAAATGAACCATCAAATATTTTACTGTTCTGTCCACTGACTAATTAATTAGTCGACGCTGAGTCTAATATGGTTTTAATGAGCGTACCTTGATTGTGGATGTGAACTGCGTGCCCATGGAACAGGCATGTCCTCATCACTGCCTTGAGGGTCATCAAAGAAATATGGACGAGGTAGGACCCTGTTGTTAATGGCCATGTTGCCAGTCTGTGAGGATCAGAAAAACACGCAGGTGCTGCTTCAACGATAAACTGTCCTGCATCGTGTTTCACTTTTAAATTGCATATTAAGTTAATATTTAGTTCAGTGCCTGTCAGATGCACTAACTACCTCCTGAGTGGGCTGCCGAACCCTGAAGATGAGGATGAGCAGACTGGTTGGGAGCAGTTCCCATATGAAGAGGATGGCACCGAAGACCAGGTAGCCGCTGTCACCCAGTTGATAACGCAGGTCAGCCTTCAAACAAACAAACAACGCTAGTGTTATCTCGTAGTGTACTTGCATTTTTAACTAGCCATGGCGATTAACTTCATCACAATCAATCATCAGGACCTGCATGTTCTGAGGTACTGCCAACGTGACCCAGGCTGAACCGTGTTACACTGGCTAAAGGGTGGCTGGGCCCAAACATTAAAGGATTACCTGGTCAGAGATGTTGTACCAGTCAAAGTTGAATGACTCCACTTGGTGGTCCTGGGACAGAAAGAGGGCTGTCAGGTTGTAGCAGGCTCGACTGGCAAACAACAAGATCACTCCTGCTCCCAGTGCTGCTGTGCGGCACACAGTGGTTCCCTGGTCAGGTGGAAAAGGCAGTTAGCATGCAGTACCATCAGAGTTACAGAGGAGGGTAAGATGTGCTTTATGTTTAAAGTGGTACTCTAACGTTCGGGGACAGTTACATTAATAAAAGAATGGTCAAAATAGGTGCAGCAGATGCCAAAATATCTTAGTCCCTAGTATAGGTCAAAAATGCTGGATCCAACAATTCCCATAATGCAACTCATTATTGCTTTTCATTAGATGCTCCCTCCCTAGTGAACACCCAAGTCTTTCAAACTCCAAATTTTCAGTTTTTAACACAGTTCTGTTAAAAATGTGTGGTCTTCATGCCCAAGCTGCAAAAACCCTGCTGACGTCATAGCGATGTCATCAGGGTAATTTTATCAGCCTGGACAAAGCTCCTCCAGAGACACGAAAAACATAGTACAACTGTGTTCACCGGATGAAAAAGACTAGTCGTGAAGAGTACACTAATCTTGATGTGTAAAAATAGGTAAGTGGCCCTTTAAGTTTATTGCTGCATTTTCACATTTTGTCACTCTGGGGACTGAAGCTGAGCGCACCTTGCTGACCAGGTAGGGGCTGGTGGAGTGCGAGCGCCTGGTCAGGAACATCAGCAAAGCAGCCAGTAACACGGCATCCAGGATGAAGAGCGAGTCATTAACAATGACTCGAACCAGGACTAGGTTCCAGGTCCGGTCCCCCGAACCACCGCGGCCTCGGTCCCCGAGAGCAGCACAAACCACGTTGACACAGAGGAAGACAGCGCTCAATGCAGCATACATGCACCGTGCCAGCCACCTGAAGAAGACATGGAAGCCAGAGGTTTGATACAGAATTACTGTCATTACATGAGCGGATCTTTTCTACATTTCTACACACATCTACATAGTGTGTAACTTACAGTCTTTTGCTCCCTTCCAAGCTGTAAGCCTCTCTCACTTTGAGCAACACCTGTGTTACAAGAGAGAAATGTGCAACATAGTAAACAAAAACAGCAGAAATTCAAAATGAAACTTAAAGCAAAAGAAACACATTTGCATTTTGCTTTCAGTCTTTCTCTAAAGTGATTACTAATTGCACATGGTTTTGTTTAAATAGCTGTTTGACAGACAGCTACTGACAGGAATTCCCCTGCTCAAAGATTATATAAAGAAGCATTAATTCTTCACTTATTTCATAATGTCATGAAGACTTTTTATCACTTTAGTTGCATCAGACCAGATCTTCTTAAAATCTGTCAATTTCCATCAATTGATTCAAGAGAGACTCCGGCTCCACTCTCCCCAGACTTACCTGAGTAAAATACAGGTTAATGAGGCTGAATGTGAAGAACTGCAGACAAACAGGGAAGCAGTAGAGCAGCCAGTAGACTGCAACAGGTAGGTGATTGGCCTCCAGAGCATTACAGAAGTAAAAGGAGAACAAGGTGGTGCGGAGGGCAGCCCAGAGCAGGCAGAGGAACAGAAAAACACTCTGGTAGCTCCATCGTTTGTGTCTGTAGAGGTAGAGAAGCCAGAGCTGGACGTACACCACCAGGAAGAGTACAGAATACAGAGTGGTGTAGAGGATGGTAAAGCCAAGCTGGACTGACGGAGCGACAGCCGGGCGAAGGGGAACTGGGGGAGGCAGAGTGGAGGTGTTGGGAGCAGGGGCAGCTGTGACTGGAGCTTCCATTGGGGCACTGTCAGAACTAATTGTCCATCATCACAGAGAAACTGCCTAACCTTCTCCTCTCAGTCTGAAGGGTTTACATGGGAATCCTGACAGTGAAAAATGACAACAGGTCAGCAGGCAGGCGTCAGACTTTATAGGCTCGGACATTACAGCAAGAACTCATCAGTATCATTTACACATGTGAACTCAATGGACATCACTGAAATTACAGAAAAAGGTTCATATGTACCTTTTTATCTTTAAAGCCATCCTTGGTAAAAAGTTCCTGTTTCCTTTGTAAAATGCCAAGTAATCTAGATAGATAACCTTCAGTGTCTCAGAGTCTGCTCAAAATTTCGTAAAACTGCATTTGCATACTCTCCACCCTGGGCTCAGAAAAATCTACAGGATAAACTTTGTCTGGAAATGTATACTATGTGTCAGGTATTCAAGAATCACATTCAAGAAATGTTTCATTGTTTCAAATGGTCAAGTTGTATCTCTCTCATGTCTCACAAGTCCTGCTTTGTTGTGCAATATGTGACTTGTAAATTAATCATGTGTGTTCTTATGTAACTACTATCTTATGCTGCCATATTGATCAGGTGTCTCTACTAAAAGAGATCATGTGTATCAAGAATCTTCCTGGTTAAATAAAATAAAATAAATTTCTTTTTTGATAATTAATTCATTGTTTCAGTCACTTTAAGGATTTCCTGTTTGTCTTTGTCATGGCTGTACAGTGAGGGGAAGTCAAACTGAAACTCATTTACATTTGGATTCTTGAGTATTTCACTACACAAATACAGGAAGAAATCTGATTTGTTAGTTTACCATTAATGACACTGTAACTACAATATCACGTTATGACTTACACTGTCAGAAGACATACAATGATTGCAGAGCTGTACGTCAACCGTTATATATCGATTAAACTATTCTCACATTATGGTGGCACAGATTCTCTGTCATTTTCGACAAAAACAATCATTTCAAAAATGAGTAAAGTATTATTTGATAAACTATTTGATGTTATTATATTGTACAGGTGTTCATGTGAACTGCATATATTTCAGTGACCTCTGAAACTTAGTAAAGCAGCCGTGCTAACTCTTTACTTTGGTCTTTGGAACATAAACAACCGGTCGTGTTCCGCTCAGGCAATTAAACGGCTAACATAGCTAACTCAAACTAACGTTGTTAACTAACGGGACGTAAAATATTTCGAGCTGTCGCTCAGATACGCTTTGCCTGCTTACATTAACCCTTAAATCTTTAAACTGTCAGTAATCATTAAACGATGATAACAGACCTTATTTTAAGTTAACATGAAGGTCCAGGATACGCAGCAGACGACGGTAATCCCTCGTTTCCGTGTGTGACAGTGTGACCTGTGTAACGTCTGCTGGGCGGAGCCAGCGGTTTGATTCTAGCCGCCAATCAGCGATGACAGGAAATCGCGGTCTCTTCAATTTGTTGTTTACTTACCTTGAGAAGGACGTCGCGTATAAATCATATTTAACACTCACAATTTTTATAGGTCAGTGAGAAATGTTGTTTTGATAGCCAACAGCTGCACATATCCGGTTTATTAGGGTTAGGGTGAGCACAGTGGGCTCTCATTAGACAAACGGACTGCTCTTTATGCTCCGTTCTGCCCGTTAATCTCGTTTCGCGAGGGTGCTGCATTATTAAAGTGGTCCAAGATGCCTATGGTACTACGATCCAGAAAATCCATCCACCCCAGTCAGGCGAGTGAGGTAGAGTTACTGGAAACAATACCGGCAACACCGAGAAGGTCGACCCGCCTGCACGGGAGAGCTGCGTACGAGGTGGGTATTTTATTACTCAGCTTTTCCGCCTCCTCTTCCTCCACTGCTGAAAAACTTCACAGCCACGTAGCTGGCTCGCTAACGTCAACGGCAGCGACGTTAGCTGGCTAACCCGAGAAGAACACTCAAAGAAGGATTAAATAGACACCCTCCTGCCTTAACCTGCAGTATTTTTTTTTACTGCTATTGCCACTTCAACCATCTAATATTTGCTTAGCTGGTTAGCATAACGGTAAAGAGGAAACATTACACCGTGAGAGTGAAACCCTGCGCCTAGCCCAAACTTGTTACCGAGCAAGTTACCGCATTATGGTAAGTTTGTCTTAACGCTGACGGTGTTTCTTTGTGAAGCAGATGATAGAGCGTGTGCCCTTTGTATTTATTTTTGTTTTTATTTTGCATGGTTTAGATTAAGCTACAACCGGCACACACTGTGAGTCTTACATGAATGCATAACTAGTGCTTTATTACAGTGCTGCTTGCTCCTTATTAACTATGATTATAACCGATGTGGTCCTGTCAGGAGTCGGATGAGACAGACTCTGAGTCTGTCCAGAGCCAAGTGATGGAGACACACCAGAGTGAAAGTCCCCCGGCTGAGCTGGAGGAGGAAGCTGCTGAGGAGGCAGATCCAATGGTAGGCTATTATTCACCTTACAGACAACCCAAACAACACACCTCTTGTTGTTAGATGTTATTTTGTATTGGCAGGAAAATCCGAGCCTGCAAAGGATGCATGGGTGTGGCCAGTTCTTATTCATACATCACTCTGGTGAAAGAATTATTGCTGTGTGTGTGTGTGTGTGTGTGTGTGTGTGTGTGTGTGTGTGTGTATGTATGTGTGTGTGTGTGTGTGTGTGTGTGTGTGGGGCAGCATGTCATCATCACTAGGAAATAATGACAGGCTGTTGCGGAAGTGTCTTTATCTCCTTTTCTCTGCCTCTAGAGAAGTAAAGTTGATTTATATATTAAGGCTGAATATTTAAACAGGAGAGCACAACCAGTGCTGGAGCTCTGTGGCCAATGTCAAAACCAATATTTCTGTCTTTAAATATTGGCTAATGTTTACTTTTATCACTATTACATAATGTAAACACCCCTTAAATGTAGTTATTATTATTTTGCACAATATTTTACAGTGGGACAAATTAACCTTATCCACAAAGAGGATAGTAACAATAAAGATAGAAGAAATAGCATTTTTTTAAAGTAAAAAGACTGATTTTTTTAGGCATTAAAAGTAAAGTGAGAATGCTTTGAAAAATATTGCCATGAATAGTTTTTATTTATTAGTCAACTTCATACAAAGGGCAGTGAACAGAAAAAAACCTGAATGAAATATTTGGTGTGAGAACATGAGAGAGCATTTAAAACAGCACCAGTTCTCTTGGGTACACTTGCACACAGATTTTCAAGGTACTTGGTTGGTTGGTTGTTCCAAGCATCTTGGAGAACTTGCCAGGGTTCATCAGAGGATTTAGGCTGTCTCTGGGTCTTCTGTCTCTTTGTATGAGCCCAGTGGGGGCTGGACCATCTGTTGCAGGAATCGTTGTTCTTCTTGTTGCTGAAGATAGTTGTTTATGATTATGGCTGAATGTTGAAGGTTGTTGTCATTCTGCAGAATGAATATGGAACTCATCAGATGCCTGCCTGATGGGATTGCATGATGGATCGAAACATCTAAAATGTCGACAAAACCTTTGCACAATGCTGTATCTGACTTAAATCGAAGAATATTAGACATGAAATGATGGTTATATGTATACATAACAATGCATCCTACAACACATTACATAACATATTGGAATTCCTTTTTGCCTGTCTGCCCACATATTTGCTGAAGCTGATCCATCTGTACTATATCAGCCCGTTAATAAATCATTCAGGCTTTAATGTCATAAAGTGCTTTACTATCATAAAAAGGGGAAATAAATAAAATGTTGTTTAGTAGGAGGTTGACATATCAGCTAATATTAGCTTACTGTAGATATATTGGTGTTATATATTGTTATATATTGGTTATGTTATTATTGTTTATGTAGTTTGTTTATGACAAAAGAGAATTGACTAATATCTAAGTGTGAGACTTTTAAGAAATGTTGATATTGACATCCGCCAACAAATCTGCCTGTATCAGCTGGACTTAGTCAGCCTTTTTCTCAGCAGACATTGACTTTGACATTGACTTGTCATCATAGGAAAAGCACACTAATAATAAATACTAATTAATGATGGCTGTGGCCCAGTAAGCAGTATAATTCAGTGACATTTCCTACTGTGGCATGTCAAAATGTCTTGCAAGAAAAATTAGACAGTGAGACATTAAAACAAGCACAAAACACCAATAAACACTATTTGAAAATGGAGTTAAATGTCAGCCTTCATTATCAAGCCAAGAAACACATTTGTGGCCAGATTACAATCCATTTTGTGGTCAGAATAATTCAGCATCCTCAGAAATACAGACTGTAGACTGTCGACATGCTGAAGAACTGTCCTGGATATCTTGTGTGGAAATCTGAAATACGGTTTCCATGGAATATTTATGAAAATTAGCACTGTGGACAGAGCAAGTTAGAATGTTCAGCTTTAACTGCCATTTACTGCCATATTAAAAGATACTGTAGCCATGGCAACACATGGCAACAAATATTGACATCCATAACAATATGTTAAACAGCCTGCGGTGGCCATGTTGAGGTGTACCAGTCAGGAGAGCTCATTTGAATAGGTGTGGCTACTCTAGGTCTTTCAGTGTTACGGAAGCCTCTCGAGATAATATGCAGTGCTATAGTCTTGTTGTTAACCAGTACCAAGTAAACAGAATGGAGTATATTGAGTTTATTTGAGTCTGTAGATGTTTAACTTAACTAAACTGGCTTTTTAAAGGTATATCAGATGTTATGTGCAACTAAAGGTGAGGTCATGCGGCTATTCAGAGCTACTGGGTTAGAACTTGTGTGTATATACTGAGAGAGGTGCTATAGACATATGTTATCCTCACAAAAGATGTATGCTTTTTCTAATGAGGTTCTGTCTTCCTCAGGAACTGAAAAATTGTAGTGTTGTGCTGGACCGTCTGGAGGCTGCAAAAAAAGAGCTTGAGGAGAAAGAAGACATGAACCGCAAAGGTGGGAAACCTCTTTCTCGAATCCCTACTTTCCATAAACGACCTACTGGTGGCAGCCAGCACACGGAGCTGCCTGTTCCCAAAAAAGATACCCCTGTCCATGTAGCTCAGCCTCATGTGAAAGCTGGATATGGAAGCGCGGAGGCCTCAAAGTCCAAACCGCCTGATGTCAGAGAAACAGCACTCCCCCTGCCTTCAGTCCGAGCCCCCAAAATTGGCTTCGAAGGCCCCTCTCCATTCATCAGCACTGAACAAGCCGCTGCGACTGTCCATAGCGCTGTAATTACTGCACCCAAGAGCTGGAGTTTGTCTGAGTCTGTGCAGCATCCTTTTATGACTGCAAGCCCCAGGCCTGCCCTAAGACCAGAACAAGGGTCAGAGCAACACCTACCAGAGCAAGACTTGAGCAAAACCTCAGAAATAGAAGCTGATACCTTACCAGATGGCCCTGTAAGTCACCTTCCTCATAAGGGCTCCCTCAGCCAAACGCCACAAGAAGACACAGCGGGGAAGTATGATGCTGAGGCTAAAGGCAGGATTAACCTCACTACCTCTGGAGACAAGGAAAAGTCTGACTCTCCAGAGGTTGCTCACACAGCTGAGGTCAGCCAAGTGGATGCTATCATGGACGAAGAACCACCGTGGGAAATGGAGCCAATGAACATTCTCGAATTAAAGGACAGCAGATCTTCATCAGACGTTGAATGTGAGGAGGATTTGACAGATGAGAAGCATGAGCACCACAGTGTAGGAGAGGTGAAGGATCATCATGAACCACCTGTAATCCAGTCAGAGTTTTCAAAACGTGAAGAGAAAAGAGCGGATATGGATGAATACACCTCTCCTGTAGCACCAGAGAAGCCCGCTAAAGTTAGATCAACCAAGTCAACTACGGTGAGTGATGTTGCTGTACTTGCTTAAGAGATTCCACTCATAAGAGTCATGGTGTTTTCTTAATGGTCTCAACGGAGTCAGTCATATTTAAAGGAATTTCACCACACCCTACAGTAAGAGCTGTGGTATGCAACACAGCCCTAAGATGTTTCCATTCTCTTGTCAAATTACTGATTGAAACTTTACCCACTTGTTCATTAGTTAAAGTTCCACCTCTGACTTTTTGCAGCGCTCAGGATGCTCCAGTTTTGCACTCTTCTGCTTCCTGCCCACCACCTTGCTGCTCCTCGGAGGGTTTGGTCAGCATGTTTGGCACTACGGGCTTCCCATGTCTGTGGCTCAGCTCACGACTCAGCTGGAGCTGCACTGGCTGGAGGGCTTTGGCTTAGTACCAGAGCCTTGTAGCACTGATTGTCGGTAGGAAATATCAACAAAGTGTTAATCTCTCTGATCTACGTTGGTCTTAAAAATAAGAGTTTGTGATGAACTTCTAATTTGAGATTCTGCCTGGATTTAGTGTGTGTCATTTAATGGTGTAACTTGAAATAC